GTCGTCAGTCTCCACCAGTCCTTGGCCCCAAGCCTCAGCAGGTTCAGGGCACACCTGACCTTCTGGTCAGTAGGACACGAGCACGTGAAGAAACATCCCTCCACGTCAGATAGCCACCTCATAGCCCTGATCGCATCTTGTGTACCATCAAATGCTGGGGGCTTCGTGTTATCGAAGTCCTGGTACTAGAAAGCTTGGCTGGCTCCTCCTCCACCCCCTGCCGCTGTTACAGCCGATGTGGCTGCAGCGGAAGCCATCTCTGCTAAGGCTGCATAACGCTCATCAAATTACTCGACTATAGCAGTCTTGATCGACCCAAACATCTCTGGTAGTTGCGCCCGAAACCTAGCAGCAATCTCATCATGCAAGATCTCCCGAATCTTGGTATCCAACTCCTCTATCCCTATCTGCACCACGGGCTCAGGTGCTATGGGCACATCTGGGCCTCCGCCCCCTGATCCTGATCCTGATTCAGTCGTAAAGCGTCTCGTCGTCACCATACTGAAAATATACCCAAGACATTAGATAAATAACAAAATATCGGGAGACCAATTTCCACAAACACTAGGGGTTGTGACTTCCTTGCTATGCGTATGGGTCCTGTGCTTTCAGTAGTACGGGCCCATACTACCTTCCACACCTACCCATATTTGTTTCAAGTATCACCACAACGCCCTAACAATAGACATCAACATAGCAAGTGCTCAACCCCACTCTTAGATGATTGTGAAACTATATCACAACTGGCCTTACGGCTTCTAACGACCCATCCATCCATGAAACTTCCACCAACTCTGCAGCATTAGCATATGCTAGCCACACGTAACACCGGACCCGATAGACTTTCAAATATCCAATCCTACCCTAAGGTCGAATCAAACCTTCTCAGGCTATATGATCTTGATTATGTACAGCCGCAATGCATACACTAAACAACTACAGTAATGATGTCAATTCCATATAAAAGAAACTCTAGGCTAGTAAGCATCATATAATCAGGCAAGTCTATCGTGCAATTCCTAAAGATCCCTAGCCTAGAACTAGCATGTTGTTCTAACAGATCATAATATCAAATAGTTGTATGGTATTTTGGGGTCTACTTACTGGTTCCGGCTGATCGTACACTCTGCATCCCCCATCCCTTATTTTGAAAACCAATTTAAAATTTATTCTAAAATTTTCCTTGATTTGAGACTGGATTCACACGAGTGTTTTTACAAAATGTTTTCAAAATTATTATTCATCAGAGTGTCCCAGAAATATAATCATATGGATGAAGAGCGATACGGTCAAGCCTTCACCTTGCCATGATCTCCGGAAGTACCTGAAACAATAAACTGAAACTATAAGCCCAAGAGCTTAGTGAGCTACCCCTAAAATACCAATACCACACTGATAATACCATATCAAGAACAGGTAATTAACAACATGCATACTAGGCCTTCGGCCTGACTGGACCGCCATGCAGGGCCTACAGTCTATCTGGATCTATCCCAAGCCTTTGGTATGACTGGACAGCCATACGGGCCTATAGTCTATCCAGACCGCTCGTAGGGTATCTTGGCCTTCAGCACAAAGTAGATCCGCCTCAACCCAAACATCAAACAAATAACCATGTGCACATAACTAACATATATTGGCATATACAGGTATCAGATATGACTATCTCACAAATCATCGATCATGGCAATCTCTCATAACCAGAGCACCGACCTAGCTAGGACACTATCATACCAATCCTAACGGATCATAAGAGCATAACAGCATACTGTCTATCATGATACCAATCTAACAGATCATAGCCACATGCAACTTACTACAACCTAGATAACAACTAAAAGGGCCGGCCTTGGTGCCTTAGACCCTATTGATACAGTAAGGATAACGCAACTTGCTAGTAGCTCGGAATGATATTGTCCACACCTCCAAATATAGCTTTAACCACCTCGCCTATACCCATAAGTGGTCCACTCAATAACCACTCAAATTACCAAAATGCCTTTGGGAGGTAAAAGACATCCCATAGTCAAGTCAAGTTACTGGTCAATGGTCAACAGTCCACGTTGACCTATTTACTGAATATAACTCTCTCTGCCTCGAGTTCCTCCTGATTCCAGAATTTCTCGACTCGACTCGCTGAGTCTCTAGCAGACTCACCGAGTTGATACGCGACCCATTTCTTGGAAATCCAATCTGACTTGCCGGGTCATCTCCCAGACCTCGTTGAGTCCATGCAAGACTAACTTGGACAAAACCCTACCCGACTTGCCGAGTCCATACGTATAGTCTCATGATCCAACGATTCTGAACTATCTATTTTTTCCAATCAGTAGATCTAGGTCCCTAGAGTGCATTAGCAACGTAAAGTTGCTACCTTTACGTATTTGCATGACTAAAATTCCAAATCTAAGCTTGAAATGGGACTTTACTCATAAACAAGGGTTCCTTCATGAACCTATTAAGAACTTTATGAACTTATCAGATCTAAAGTTTCAACTTCAGATCTAGCTCCCATACCATAATCCCCTCATAAATAGCTAAAGAAAGCCCTAAACTTCACATATGAAAGATTCTAGAAGAAAAGAGGTCATGGTAACAACTTGTTACCTCCAAAACGTGCCCAAGCTGAAGTAGACTTTGGATCCACACGAAATCCTTGATGCTAGCCTCTTGATCTACAAGTTTGCTTCACAAAAATCACTTCCCAAAGCTCCAAAACACTCTCCAAGCTCATACTCACGGAAATTAGGGTTTTGGCTCTTTAGGGGTGATAGAGGATAGTGGGAGGCGCTAATGGTCCAATATATAGGGTGCAAAACCCTGAAATTTAGGGTTTCCTCTATCAGCTCCTACTCGTCGAGTCCCTAAGCCGACTTGCCGAGTCACTCATTAAATGACACGTCCTGACCCGCTGCTACTCGGCGAGTCACAGCGTCAACTCGTCGAGTAGACCTTAAAACATGAAATTTAAATGGAATGATAATGATACCTGACAGTTGGGATGTTACAAAAGTTACATTATTTAACCATAATTTACGAATAAGTCGCAAATTAAAGTTTGTTTACAAAAATGTCATTAAATTATCGGTAAAATTGATAATATAATTTTGTTTCCTTATGACACATTTTACCGATTTCATTGATGAGCGGATGAAATGGATATGTACGATTATATAATGTTATGTCTACTATAAAACTTGATATACTGTTGCAGTTTATATTTTTGTGGAATATTAAATGCATCAAACGACGACTATAATAATTACATAAATTAGCAACAATTTCATCATTTTTTAAGTTTGTAAGAAATTTCAAAATGTCTATCTAATTTTATGTAACCCAACATATCCATCTTATCAGCTTATTTTTCGTTTATTTTATCGATAACATATATTTTACCGATTTCATTGCTGGTCTGGATGCCTAATCATTAAATAAGTTGATGGGATGCATATCAAGTTTTAGGATAAACGTAATATTATATAACATATCATATCCATCACATTAGACCATTATGACTAGGCGTCAATGTTAGTTAAAAAACTGATAATAATATTTGTTATAGTGAGAAAATGGTTATATCATCATTTTACCGATAATTCATGTTTTTTAATAAACAAATTTTAATTTGAAATTTATTCTTAAATTATGGTAAAATAATGAATTTTAATGTAACAAGGTCGGTAATGAAACCAATAAACTGTAAAAAAGAACTCAAATTGTCACTTTTACCCATAATTTATGTTTTTTCGTAAAAAACTTTTAGTTTGAGATTTATTCGTAAATTAGAATAAAATAATAAAATTTTAATGAAGATTTCTTAGATGGCCATAGACATTTTCACAATATTATAAATAGCCTTTATTTGCGTCTTCACAATATTATATATAACCTTTATTTGCTATATAGTTTTATGACATTACTTTACAAGGTTACAAGAAAATTTTGGCTAATTATGAAAACCTATTTATTTGGTTGAGTATATAAAATTTGTTTGATTCTCTTCTACAATATTTTTGAACAATTATAATTTTTTTTAATTTAAAATTATTTAAATAGATTGATTAATATTTATACAAAGGTTAAGCGTAGTGGGATAATTTGTTTTTAATATCTTAACTAACAAAACTCATATTCCTAAAATCAAATAAAAGAATCACATTCATAATTAATTATATGCCCCACATTTGAAAAAAAGGGTTGCTTGGCAAACTCTTGAGATAAAAAACTGAAGAAAGAATTAAAGATCTTAACAGTCACATAGTATCTGTTGTATATAGTAACCTATGAATTGGTTATTTAGTTTTTCGTTTAACTCTTATTAATTAAAAATGACATCCTTAATAATAGTATTAAAAAAAATGAAGAAATAAATATGTCACTGAGATATTGGATTAACATAATAATAATAATAATAATAATAATAATAATAATAATAATAATAATAATAATAATAATAATAAGCAATGAACTATATACCAATGATACCATATGAACTTACAGATTATGTGCGTAGACATGGTCAAAAGCAATGTTGTTAGCTATGTTGTTTGTATAGAAACAAGTGATTTTAACACGACTCTAAAAATACATAAATGTCTTTGAAAACTGAAAAGCATATATGCTTTTTGGATTAAACTATAATTAACATTAATTTTTGAAGAATTGAATATATTGGTCAATGACCGAAGAAGTGAAGATTTATGTTACAAGGAAAGGTGTTTGGATATATATCCATTTTTTTAATCTCGGTCCCTCTCGATCCCGCTCTTTGAACAAATGTTCTTCTAATCTGGGTCCCACTTGAAACCCCACCCTTCTTGCTATGCCCATCTGTATCATATCTTTTTTTTTTTTTTTTTTTTTTTTTTTTTTTTTTTTTTGGTATCATATCAAATGTGATGTCCCTTATAGAAGCATGCATACAGCCCAAATTGGAATACACATAGCCCCATTTCGAAATCGTACCTCGAACACAAATCTTTCTTACTGCATTTCTAATGTCGATCCACGACCACTTCTCATCACCTAGGCCAGCCGTTTTCACACGAACTGTGAACGCCCATAACCTTAAACACGAGATTGGTATAATTTCATCAATCATTGATGATTACCCTTTCGTTTCTTTGGATACGGAGTTCTCCGGCGTCATTTTGCGTCCCGGCAAGAATCCTTACGATCTTTACGACGCCCTCAAAAGGACTGTCGAGACTTACAAACCGATTCAGGTGGGACTCACCTTCGCCGATGCCGACGGGAACTTCCCTCGTATCGACACCCAAAACCCTTGCGTCTGGGAATTCAACATCAAGGATTTTGATCCTACGCGTGACCTGCACGCTGCTGAGTGGATCGAGACCTTGATAGGAAAAGGCGTCGATTTTGAGAAGAATCGTGACTACGGGATAGATTCCGTGAAATTCGCTGAGCTACTGATGTCATCTGGGTTGGTTTGTAACCCCGAGGTGGTGACCTGGGTGGCGTTTCACAGTGCTTATGATTTCGGCTACTTGTTGAAGATGCTCACCGGTAAAGCTTTGCCGGATGATTTGCCCCAATTTCTGCTTCTTTTGGAGACCTTCTTTGGGCCTAATGTGTATGATGTTAAGCATCTGATGAAGCACTGCAAAGGTCTTCATGGTGGATTGAAGCAGGTGGCTAAGACGCTCAAGGTGGAACCGGCGGCCGGAAAGTTTCACCTCGCCGGGGAAAATAGCTTGTTGACATGGAACATCTTTCGGAAGATCAAGGATCTTTGCGGTGGTGAAGTCGAGAAGTGTGGTGGCGTTATCTATGGATTAGAGGCTTAATTAGCGCCTTAGCATTAAGATCTTTGCAAGGTGAGCCTGTGAAGTATGCCGGGTTTTTAGAAATTTGTAGGGTTTAAGAAATGTTCTTTGTTACAGTATGATGATATCATACCATTTTCATTTCTAGGGTTACTGAAATGTTGTTGTTACAGTAGCGATGATATCATACAATTTTCCTTTTTAATCTTATCAACAACACTCGATCTGTGTATGTTGTATTACTATCTTAATTATATATTTCCTTTTTCTGGGATTTAATCTTTCAGCAGTCTTAACTACTACTAGATATCATTCATATACACTCACAATGTCACACATATATTAAAGATCACGAACCCCTGATTTTCAGGTTTGCATCTGGAAGTTAAAGAGACAAGTTAATGTTGTAAGTTGTATTTCCCGTTATATAAATGTCAGTTCTCTAGGGTTAATAATAGGCTTGCTTGCGACTCATGCTCTAGGCAACACTTTCTATATATATCAAACTGCAATTGGATTCTCTACATTTATTGCATTCTTAACATCAACTGGAGCTTCTAAGTACTTTACTTCTGTTGCTATATATATCTACATCATACTTACTCTTTAAATGCTAATGAAATCCAATAATATATATACAATTAGGTGTGTTTAATTTTGTTATGACAAGATCCTCCCCATGATGAAATTCCTTATAAACCCTATAATTTTTGTTCTATTACATATTCCAAATTGCTCATCGTCGAGGTTTCCAACATTGGGATGCGTCTGGAGTTCATCTAAATATTTGTATTTGGTATCTAGATAAAAAAACTCAGTGACTTTGTGTTAGATTATTTTTAGACTTCAGTCAATAAAAGTTGTTTCTGGTTGCATCTCGTCTTTCTTATTTAGTAGTAATTTTAGTAAAGAGTTGTACTTGTGTTCCTAAAAGTTCAAACACATTTTTGGGATTGTTATCCTTATTTTGTTCATATATGATTTTTGATTATTAGTAATCACTACGTGAAATAGATAATTTTGATTGAACACTTGTATTCCGAAAAATGCAAAAAGAAAATTCGGATGGTTATCGTTATTTTACTTCAACTTTAGCTTTTGATTATTTGTAATGAAATTATTAATTCTATATTTCAAAGATATTCGTCGTGATTGAAAATCCATGTGAAGTAAGATCTGAACTAAAAAACCATACAAGAACGAGTAATCAAGCCCACCGAACTTATAGTCATAGACATCTTTCCAAAATCATATCATCCAAGTGGTGGCAAATTACACAAATGGTCCATGTGATTTGTTTAATTTGTACGTTTAGTTCTTAATTTATTTTTTTTAGCTCAGATCGTGCCTATAATTTGATTTCGTTGTGTTTTTGGTCCCTATCGGACTTAAAATGACTATTGTACCCTAAATGATATATTTTATTTTGTTATTATTATTATTATTATTATTATTATTATTTTAAATAAAGTAAAGTAAAATATTTATATCTTGTTGAAAAGGGGACCCACCGGTCCATCACCTTAATCCTCTTATCGTTCCGGTTCCATTCCCGACACCGCGTCCGGTTATCCTCTCCGGCCATAAAACCAGTCTCTGACACTAACTCTGGTCATCATCTCCAACCATAGATCCAATACCACATAAGTCACCACAAACTAAACACAAATCTAACCATAAATCTATGTGAAGCTCAACAATAAATCTGAAATACATCTAAAAATGAAACTTTATGTAACAATCTAAATTTTCAATAAAACTTTTCATTTTTGAATTACGAAATCATTTGCATAAATTATAAAACTCACAATTGCTTTTAAAATTCATAACATCAGATAAATTATTCATAAAATCAGAGTGTCCTTAAACAAATGTCAGAGAGTGCATGTTGCGCCATCATGTCGGGCCCTTGACCTTAGATCATGAAGTACCTGAAACAACAACAAACCGTATGCTAATGCTTAGTGAGTTCCCCATAGCATACCCCACATAATCCACATAATCTTATAATCCATATCAATCACATAAGCCATGCATATAAACATATAAACATACCCTGGACACCCTCCAAGGTCTTACTCCAGGATACCATGAGAACCCCCTCATGGTCTTACACCTATGTGCCATGGGCACCCCCATGGTCTTACTTGGAATGACATGGGCACCCCCACATGCTCTTACAACCAAGTGTCGTGGGCACCCCCATGGTCTTTACCTCAAAAGTCATGGGCACCCCCACATGGTCTTACATCCAAGTTCCATGGGCACCTACCATGTATTTCCTATAAATATTAAAGAAGCAACTAGCATATCACATAGCATATAACCAACTAGTATACCATATATCACTACATAAACTAGGGTACCACATATCACAAAATGGGCCGACCTTGGTGCCTTTGACCCATTGGTATTGTGAGGAGACTCACCTTAGTTTGCCGAACCCGAAAGTTGCTCGCCTAACAGTCTAAAACCGCTCATGCTGAACAATAATGTCATTACCCAAATTAGGATTGAATACAATCTGATTAAAGAGTCCAATATCCTAAGCCCAAGTCCTTCCACAATGGCCCAAAAGTCTTTCCTTTGCTAATGGGCTCAAAGTCTATATCCAAAGCTATTAATAGGCCACATGTCCCAGTAAGGCCCAAACAAAACAACCATGGCCCTAAAATAGATAAACCGGACCTTTAACCCAAAACATGACCAGACCCAAAACTGATTAAGGCCCAAAGGGATTACAAGCCCATACGAAGCCCAAAACACATTTAAGTGCGTACATTGAGCATACCACTCCAGTACGCTCAGCGTACTAGTGTCTAAACCAGTACGCGTTGCGTACATTCGGCTATGTGCAACGTAAAATTCACTCATCCACAAATGATTATTAAGCTCTTAATGCTTGGGATATTAACATCAAGCTTTTAGATCTGAGTCAATTAAGACGTTCTAAGGCATAAAGTTGGAAACTTTATGCCCTTGCATGCTCCACATGTTCCCAACAACCCCTTATACTCCATTAAGACCTTTCTAAGTGTCTTAACTAATGCATGGGGTCAAAACACCCATCAAGATTGCATTTTCATAGTATAAATGAACTAAGGGACCCATATATACCATTCCTAAGCTCTGGAGTTGCTCAAACTCTTAAGAGATGATCCATGAACATAAATAGGACAATAAAGTAAACACTAACTTAATCTAATTAATAAGGTGGCAAGATTAAAACTTTATACCTCCAGAAGTTCTTCAAGGTGAACTAGATGCAGGATCTTAAGGCTCAATACCACACCAAGCTTGCTCACTAACTTCTTCTTCTTGAATACACTCTAAAATGGCCACAAATACACTCATTAAGCTAAAAAACACTCTCATAAGGAAAACTCTGGGGTAAAAGAGCGAAATGAGGCTATAGAGGATGATTAGGGTTTAGTCCATGAGGCTTAAGGATGTTTAAATAAGTGTGAAGTCCAAGAATTAGAGTTTTGCCCTTCTGTCACGTATGCTCCACATACCTCTTGGTACGCCTAGCACATGTTGCCACCCTCCGCGATCATTTATCCTTAGTATGCTAAGCGCACTTCTGGAGTATGCCTCGCGTACTAACAACCCTTATGCTACATTTTTCATTTCAAGCGTTCGAATTGTAATACCTGATTTGGAGTGTTATAACTCTCTCCACTTGGACTAGACTTCATCCTCGAAGTTCGCTGACACAAATAAATCTGGGTAATGCTCTCTCATATCAGCCTCTGGCTCCCATGTCCATTCGGTGCTGCCATTGCACCTTCACTAGCTTCACCTCCTTGTTACGAATAACCTTAGTCTTCGTATCCAGAACTGGGATAGGTGTCTCAATGTAGTTCAGGCTCTCATCTACCAGAATATCATCCAGAGAGATAACTACAACCTCGTCAATGACACGCTTCCGAAGCTGGGACACATGGAAAGTGTTATGGATCTGACTTAGCTCATCCGGGAGGTCCAGTTGATATGCAACCCTGCCGAATCGGGAAGAAATCCGGAATAGACTAATAAATCAGGGCCCCAACTTGCCCCTCTTCCGAAACCTAATGATACCCTTCCATGGTGACACTTTCAGTAAGAGGAAATCTCCCACCTGAAACTCAAGATCTCATCGGCACCGATCAACATAAATTTTCTGACGGCTCTGTGCGACTCGCAACCTGTCGCACACCTGCTAAAGCAACCCGGTAGTCTTGAGCACCACCTCGGTGCTCCCCATGACTTGGTGCCCTACCTTGCCCCAACATACAAGAGTCCTACACGTCTGACCATACAACATCTCAAACGGGTGTCGGTCGATACTACCATGATAACTATTGTTATATGAAAACTCTGCTAGTGGGAGGTATGTATCCCAACTCCTTCCGAAGTCCAATACGCATGGTCGTAGCATATCCTCGAGTGTTTGGATCGTCGGCTCGCTCTGGCCATCGGTCTAGGGGTGATAAGCGGTACTGAATTGTAACTAAGTTCCCAACTCTTCGTGGAACTTCCTCCAAAACCTGGATGTAAAACGAACATCCCGATCAGAGACCACTGGCACTGGCACCCGCACCCGGTGCCTTACCACCACCTCTCTCACATAAATAGCTGCTAACTTCTCAGCAGTGATACTCTTAGAGATCGGAATAAAATGGGCACTCTTCGTCAACCTGTCCATAATGACCTAAATACATTCCACGCCCCTCGCCATCCTTGGTAACTTGGTGATGAAGTCTATGGTGATCTCTTCCTATTTCTACATGGGAATAGGTAGCAGTTGAACCTTTTCATAAGACCGCTGATGTTTGGTCTTGACCTTCATATTGGTCAAGTACCGCTCTACAAGCCAGACGATTTCCCACTTCATGCAGGGCCACCGGTAACTAAATCTTAGGTCTCTGTACATTTTTTAGCTACATGATGAATAGAGAACTTGGACTTATGTGCCTTTTGCCAAGATCTCCTGTCTCACTCCCCCGGATGCCGGTACTCACACCCGGCCACACTGTATC